CAATTAAAATCATTATTTTTATTTGTCTGATTTAAGTCATGATTTAAATCGAAACAGCCCTTTATATGTTCCATTATTCTAAGGCAGAGGGACATTATTCTTGGTTTTATTATTTTTTAATTTAATATCTCTGGATACTTTACATATTTAGTGTGTATACAACAGTTAACAACCTTAATCTATTAACTCTAATTATAACTTAATTATTAAGGATTTGATTTATAGATTTTTAAAGCAATACAAGATTAAATTTAACAGAAGGCTAAACTTCTGCTCTGAAGAAAAAAAAGGAAGACAGCAAAAATGACAAAGTGGCAAAAAATTGTGTATGTCTTGGTGTAGATGATTTATTCTCAATTTCTTATAATAAAACAAAAAATATTATTAAACTTTGGGATTTACCTGTAACTCAAAACTCTTTACAGAAGTTCAATGTTTGTTCTGAGAAGTTGAATGAACAAAGTTTATTAAATGGTAAGTTTTTATATAAAAGTCTTAATGTCTGATGATTGAAAATTTTTATTCATAGCTTTAACTTTTATTATTTTAAAAACTTTTTCATAAATTACGGTCAAAAAGTCAGAGTGTTAATTAACATTTTATTGTGTAATAATCAACATGTCGAAGTTTACACCATAGGCTTGGTCAGGAAGCAATTGCTCTTGAATACTGACTACAAAAAATATATTTAGTTGCAAAAAACTAGCCGGATTTTTTAGTTGTTTTGAGAACATTTAAGTTTATGAACGTAACAAAAATTAAGCTAATATGTTTTTTTTGGTGCTACCCATTTATTATTTCTGAAACTTATGTTTTTCTTAGTGTTCATATTTAGTCGTCATTGAAGTACAACTTGGTAAACTACAAAACACATCAAATTCAGTTATAAAAAGTTGAGTAGCAAATGTATGCTAATTATTGTATAGCCTGAAATTGTGTCATTACTATTAAAAGCAGTGAAGAATTCAAGTACTCTGGAAAAAAAGAAAATACGTAAGTTAAATGGTAAATATTTTTTTATAATTATTTTAAGCATTTTGTATGATATCTTAGTACAATTTATATACTTTAAATAAAATACTCTAGGAAGATTTTTTGTAAATTAGATTTTATATTAATTTAAGTCTAAACAAAAGTTACATTAATTATTGCCAGGTTGTGTATTTTTGCAGGTCAATTATTTGGCACAAATCGGAGTTAAAGAAAAAGGAGATTGTATATTTTATTTACTAAGAATAGTTTTTTAAAATGGCCTAGTTGTAAAATTAAACTATGCAGAGAAAGGACAGAAAATTTGAATAGAAAAAATGTTGATTACATATGCTGCTATTGATAAGTGGTTTAGAAAAGTTAGTTTTTTCAGTTTCAATTTTGCATTACAGAATTACTTTCAGTTTGTTATGTTTCTTTGGTGCATAATTAAACAAACAACTATTTCTTTTTGCAGAAACTGTGTAGTCAAATAAGCATGACTTATGCAGACATGTGATAGAGGAGATAGAGGAAGAAAAAATAATAATCGTGGGCACCAAATACCATAAGTTAAACACTATTCAATAACAAGTAGCTCAGCCATTATCGAAAACTACTCTATAAATGTGATAGAGATAGAGAAAGAAAAAATAATAATCGTGGGCACCTAATACCATAAGCTAAACACTATTCAATAACAAGTAGCTCAGCCATTATCGAAAACTACTCTATAAATGTGATAGAGATAGAGAAAGAAAAAATAATAATCCTGGGCACCAAATACTATAAGCTAAACACTATTCAATAACAAGTAGCTCAGCCAATATCGAAACTACTCTATAAACTTTATAGTAAAATTTTTTATTTAAAACTCAATGTGTCAGTTTCTGGTTTAAGTTTGGTGTTTGCAGTTAGTATATTTAACCGATAAATTATGTTAAATAAATAAATTTTTATACTTGTATCCTACATTCTTTTTTTTCTCAATAAATTTTCAACGTAACGATGCAAATCATCTTATTTTTAACAACGATCTAATGTTGCATAAAACGTTAGGCCGTTATATAACATACGATATTGGGCCAATGTTGTATACAACGTTAGGCCAACTTTGTATACAACGTTGGGTCAATGTTGTATACAACGTTGGGCCAATGCTGTACACAACATTGGGCCAATACCTAACCAATGATCAAATCTGCATTGGGCCAACATCAACTTTCAACGTTGGGCCAATGCATCATCATGCATTGGCCCAACGTTGGTCCAATGTAAGCTTGCTGTCTGGGATAAAATGTGTTTTCTGTAAATTTATAATAGTGTAAAAAAAAAAAAGTCAATAACAATTGGCTGCAAATTGATAAAGAGATAAAAAATATTTTAATATTTCTATTATTATTATTATTAATATTATTATATTTATGGGCATTCCTAAAAAGAAATCTGAAATAAAATATATTACACATGGCTACAAACGAAAACTTTGAATCTCGTGTTTTTAAATTTCAAAAAACGTAGACTCTGATAACATTATTTATCACAATAAATTTTCAGATTGTTCATATTACTTTCCTAGCCAACTAGAAGGGTTTCTTTTTAAAAATGAGCCTAAAATAAATAACAATTAAATGTTAATTCTCAACCTCAATATAAAAAGCCTAAATAGCAATTTTTCAATATAATTTGTTTAACAGAAACTTGGACTTCTTTAGAAGACCTAAATAATTTTCATCTACCTCATTTTAATACAATTTTAATGGAAAGGAAAACAAATTAACGCAGTGGTGGAGTTTTAATTTATGTTCACGAAAATTTTGAGCATTGTTTTAGGCATGATTTAAGCGTTTCTGACTGCGATAAAGAAATTGCAACTATAGAAATTACTAACTGCAACAACAAAAAAAATTTAATTAGCTGTTGTTATCGGTTACCTAATAGCGTAAGCGAAAACCTTAGCATATTTTAACTACAAATCATTAAAAAAGGTACCGTTAAAATAAAGCAAAATTTTATAATTGGAGATTTAAACATGAATTACTTTCTTTATTTCACAAATTTAAAATAAAGTATCTGAAATAGGATCAAAGGATCTTGTCGCCAGAACCTTAAATAAGTTCAAACAAGCATTAACAGTATCAAATTTTTACGAATTCCATATATATTTAATCCAAATATATATTATATAGTCCAAAGAGAGATCACGCGAATCTACTCACCAATATTTTGTATGTATACGTTAGTAAAAACGTATACGTTAAGTAAAAATATAAAATCAACAAAATAAGTAAAAATAAACTTTTTACAAATGTAAATAAGAAAAGGCAAATTTATTAATTCATATTATTAATAATAACATAATACGTCATCTAATGAAAAAATTAGGGTTTTTAATTTACTTTTAAAAAATTGAAAAGTAATGGCTAGTTTGAAGTCAAAATTGGCAAAACAGTTTTATTCCAAAGGAGTGGTGCCCGGTAGGCAATACAAAATTGATTAAAGTTTGTTTGACAGAAAAGTTCATTTAAAAATTCAGTATTTCTCAAATTGTATTTGTTGATGGGTTTCGGAGTAAAAATATCTTTGAAGACAGATTGTGACAAATCATTTTTCCACATGCATACAAAGCAGGAAACATTATATATATTAAGCTTGTATATATTTAAAATTTTCATTTCAATAAAATAAGTTTTGAGTGAGAAAAGCGATTTGCAAAGCAATTAAACGGATAGCATGTTTCTAACGGCGATAAAGACGTTGCAACTTTTTTCTGTACTACCGCAGGCAATATTAGCATAATTTAAATAACTGTTTATAAATGATTAATAAAGTTTGATTAAAATTTTCTTATTGAGGTAGAATCGTGCTTTATATAAAACTCTCCTATAATTTTTGAATTTATAGTGCTTATGTAGTCGATATGATGACTCCACGTGTCGTTTTCATCAAGATAAACACCTAAAAGTTTAATTAGGGAATCCCTTTTTATTTCATTTTGATCAATAAAAATTTTAGGAAAGTTTTATGGCAATTACCGTTTTTTGGAAAGCGAATGGAATAAGGTCCACTTAGTTTTACTAGAATTTAGAGATAACTTATTACATTTAAACTAAATTGATACATGTATAAGCTCTTTCTTATTGTTTTAAAAAGTTAAAAGATATCACTGTCAGAAAGGAATAACTTAGTATCATCTGTAAACATAATACTTGTTAGTTTAGAGGCTTTATTTAAATCATTAATATAAATTAGGAAAAGGAGTGGACCAAGAATTGAGCCTTGTGCGACTCCACACGTTATAGAAAGACAATATGATATGATAACCGTCATTACTTGGAACAAATTGTTTACGATTTGACAAATAGCTTTCAAACCATTTTAAAACTTTATTTTTTATTCCATAGTGTTTAAGTTTGAAGATTAGAATTTGGTGATCAATCGTATCAAAAGCTTTCGATAGATCAATAAAAAGTCCTAAAGTATATTGTGATTTTTCAAATGATTTTGAGATTTCACGTACAAATAGGATGATTGCGTGTTCAGTTGAGCTATCCTTTTTAAAACCGAAGTGATAAATGTAAAGTAATTTATTAACATGAAAATATTTGTATACTCTGTTATATATAATTCTTTCTAAAATTTTTGAAAATGTGGAAAAAACAGAAACAGGGCAATAGTTACTAATAATTGATTTGTCCCCTTCTTTGAAAATAGGAATAATTTTTGGCAATTTTTAACAGTTCGGGGAAAACACCTTGATGGATAGAAGCTTTAAAAACTTTAAAAAGTACAACTTTTAGCTGTTCAAAACAATCTATAATAACGATTCCATATATTTAATCTGCTCCAATTGCATTATTTTTTTTAACAATTTGAAGGGTCTTTCAAACTCTTCAAACAATAATTCAGAAGACAACTCAACTGAAGCTTTTAATAAAATTTTTCCATAAATAAGGTCCTCGATATTGAATTCAATAAGAACTTAGTAAAAATTAGTAGCAAATTTAAAATAAAAACTTGAAAAAAGTTACCTCTTTTACTTTTACAAATAAATCTGTTTAAAGAATTGCAATTCTTTATTTCCCAAAATGTTTTATTTATTATAACACAACTTTTATTTTCTATTTCAAACAACCCAGAAAACTTAGAATACATATACTGTGGGTATGTATTATCAGACCACAAAAACCATGAATGATACCAACGATCAGTTAGACCTATGAATAAAACAAAGCCATAAAAAAACATATATTTTATTATAATAAAGCAGAAAATCAAGATGAATCATTATATTAAAATATTTAATATTAACTAAAATTGTACCAATCCAGTATTTATCTTTATGTATGCTGCGGTTTTTAAGAATGTTTAAAATAAATGCGTTTTCTGTTTCATCACTTATGCTTAACAAATTTCCTCCTTTTTCTAAGCAATTAAAATAAGATTGCTCCCATATTCTTGCATTTCCATCAGCTGTACTTTGAAAATAATAGCAATAACTATTGAATTCAAACCAATCACTGGCGCAATGATTGTTTTTTCCTATTGTACAAAAAAATAGAGTAATAAAAAAATAATTAAAAAAATATTATATAATAAAATAAACCGATATATTTGAGTACTTGTAACAACCTAAACTGACTGAACGTATCTAGAAACAAGACTACCAAAAAATAACCGCCCATTAAAACCTAACAAAACCTGCATAAAAAAACTTAATCAAAACCGGGCAATCTGTGTTTTATTGGATTTTTTAAAAGATTCTTATTAGTTTTATGAGCTATTAACCAACATTTACATTATATCTATTATATTATTAATTAAGATAATCAATAACTATTATTAATTATTTACTAAATTATAAATAACTATTATTAATAACTTGTATTACTATCTATTATAAATAACTGTTAATATTAACTATTTTAGTCTACAATGAAAGTTATAAGAGTAAATTTACAAATGTTTATCATTAGTTGAAATACATTATCACAATTTTTAATCGAATATTTTTACAGATTATGATTTTTTTTTTATATTTTATGTTTTTCCCAAGACTGAGAAGATCTCTACAACTGAGGAGGCAACTTTATTGTGGTTATAACCGTTTCTCAATTCTTTAACTCCGAAACACGGACTTTTATGAACTAGGCAAATGCACAGAAAACATTAACAGTATTGTGAAAAATTTAAGAGCCACCAAAAAACAAATCATAATTTATTTTTATTTTTAAACTTTTATTTAGGCAAATATATTTTTCTAGTGAAAAAAAAAAAAATAATAATAAATTGTAGAAGATAGACAACAAAAAAAAAAAAATAAAATAAAAAAAAACAAATTTACAAATTTAATCAAATAAAAAAGTGCATATAATGTTTTGTAGGTAATTTTTATTTTCAAAATTTGTGAGAAAGTTAAGAACCACAGAACAAAAACAATAACTTTTACCTAATACCGCGTAATTCTACCATGAATTTTTAAGCACTGATTTATACAATTTTGCATTGAGTCTATTAAATTTCCCTAAAATATGTTTGGGAATGTTTCTAAGTATTGTTAGTAATATATTGCGTAACTCCTCAAGGATCCATGGTGCTTTCTTGACAATCTCTTTATCAAGCCAACTCCAAAGATTTTCAATGCAATTTAAATCTAAGCTAATTGGTGGCCAAGTTAGACGCTCAATATTTTTGCTTTCGAACCATTCAGAGACAATTTTAGCCTTGTGACATGGGGCATTCTCTTGCTGAAAAATGAACAGAACGCTTTGCAGAAGTGCACATATTGATGGTAACAAGTTGTTTTTTTAAAATATCGACGTAATAAATAGAGTTGAGTCGACCACCAAATAATTTGAATATACCAAGACCATAATATGTCATGCAGCACCATATTTCAACCGAACCGCTTCCTTGTTTTCTTTTTTAAACGATACAATTGAAATTATGTTTTTCTGCAGGCTGTCTGTAAATCATAATTGGTTTTTTCTGTTATCAACCTCAATATTTATCTCATTACTGAACATTAATCTCCTCCATTTTTCTTTAGACCATTCTTTGACAATTTGGCAAAATTCTTTTCGCTTTTTTATATGTTGTTTGGTAAGTTGCGGTTTTGGAACAGTTTTTTTCCATAGCATATTGTTAGTTATTAGTTTCCTACTTACAAGTGATGCTGATGCTTGACGTCCATTTGAAATCTTCCGTTCCCTTCTTAACTCATGTGACGGCATTGTTCGATTTTTCGTTGCCAACCTTATTAAAGGCGATTGTCATTCAGTGTGGTCAAACGCGGTCTTCCAGAATGATAGCGATAAACGTAAAATTTTGTCTCTCTGAATCTTTTGATGATTGTTAGCACCGAACTATGTGATCGTTTTATTATAGTTTTTTGGTAATGACTCAGGTCATTAATGGAATAGTCAAATTAAAAAAAAACATTAAAATAATTTAAAAAAATCGTTTTTACCTCATTTAGTACAAATAAATCTATGTGGTTCTTAACACAAAAAAAAAAAAAATTAAAAAACTTAACACATATTATTTATTCCTTATTTTTATAGGTTCTAATAATTAATTTTCAAAAAAAAAAAAAAGTTTTTTTTTTTTTTTTTTTTTTTCTTTCATGTTCTATTAAATATGTTTGAAAAAAAGACTATTTTATTATCTTTAGATTAAAAATTAATTAGTTTCATTTAAAAAAATACTTTTTTTTATTTGGTGGTTTTTAACTTGTTTATAATACTGTAGATTTAAGGTGAAATTTTTTTGTCTGTTAATAATTTTAAGTTATTATAATTATTTTTAATTATAACCCTAACCATGACCCTAACCCTGATGGTGACATTATATTATATTTTGGGTTGCTATGGATACCTATATTGCTTAGCAACTACTTATTTTATTACTATAACAAATATAAACTAGAAAAAGTAATAACTTTATTGGGTTTCTCCCATAATTACCACATTGAGTATTTTGATACAACACATGTAGTGGTATTACGAATTGTTTATATAGTTGATAGTGATACCTAAAATGTCTGCTTTTTAAATTTGCATATTAGTTAGCTTAAGTAACTTTTCATAAGCATCAATCTTCAAAATTATATTAATACGGTTAATCAAATGTGATTGAATTATTACTCATTTATTACTCTGATTAAAAATTATTTTAACCAGAGTAATAAATGTATTGTTTTTTAAAAAGTTCAACATATTCTCAATTACTAATTTTAAGTATCCCAGCCGGCATTATTACGTTGTTTCAGCGTTGAAATTCGGTTGAAGCGTTGTTTCAACGTTGTTCAACTATGTCACAACGTTAAATCAACGTTACCGTTTAAACGTTGATTATTTAACGTTATTTCAACGTTAAATCAACGTTACAGTTTAAACGTTGATTATTTAACGTTATTTCAACGTCATTATTTCAATCATTGTTGACAAAAAATACGATATAAAATTTATGCGCGCGCAGAAATGGAAGTAAAATCGTAAACATTATTTCAACGGTTAAAGTTATAGAGAATTATAATGGAAAAAAAATGTAAATACTGAACTTAAATCATATAGAATTTTTAAGAGATCGAAAACATGTTGAGACAATTTTCCTGAAAGAACATTATCGTTTAAAAATCGATATTTTTCGTTTAACTTGGGCTACAATGCTCAAAGACTGATATTATTAAATGCAAATATAATACAGCTTTTTCAAAAAATGATCCATTAAAATATGTTGAATTTAATGCTAAGCGTTGTTTTTTAATAGAGCATCAAGAATTAAAAAGGAAATTGATAACTTTAAAAAAGAACTTCAGCACGACATAAAATAATAAAAATTTATTTGAAAAATTAACTTCAACCACATCAGTTATTACTATGAAAACAGACAAACTTGTATATATTATATAAAAGTTTATATAATATAAACATAATCCAAACAAATCGTGTTATTGCAATTTACTTGTATACAAACATTTATTTTAAAAATAATAGATCTTACGACATTTATACTGGCCTTACATCTGTCAATGTGTTTCATCAGTTAATTCAATTATTCAGACTAACACTAAATTTCAGATATAACAGAATTTATTATGAAAACACCTTAAAATTTTGACTTTCAGAAACTAACAGGGAATGAATACAAACATTACAACAATATAAAAACATTTGTACTCGTAGCTCCAAATTTATCAATAATTTCTTTAAAAAATTTCTAAAGCTTACAGAAGCTAAATTTTGTATAAAAAAAATTACATATCGCAACAACTATCTAGACTGTATTACAAAATACTCTTGTATAATGTATAATTAAGACTTTAATATTAATTTTTTAATACAAATGAAGTGATTTTAATTAAATCCATTTTTATCAGTCACTTTAAAAATATGATGAGTATTTGTATAAAGATAATTAAAATTTCAAACAATAATATTAGTTTTGCTTGTTGTTTTTTTTTAGGTGAATCAATTGCAATTTATGGAATATCTTTAAAATGCTGAGGTAATCAAAATAATTTTTAATTATTCAGGAATTTTAAGGATTAAATTATTTAGCAAAAAAATTGTTTGATAATGAGTTCAATTTAAATTAAAAAAAAAAAATTAATATTAGTTCTCGCACAATTAATATCAGTTCTCTTATCTATTAAAATTTAGAATATTTTCCAACAATTTTGTGACCTCCGTACATATGAAGGGGAAAGGTGAAAATATGCTTTAAGAGCACTAATTTATATGGTGTAGTGAAAGGTATACCTTTATAAGATATGTAAAACTTTTTTATTCTCATTTTTTGTATATTCAAAAATTTCTCCTTGTGTTTTTTTTTTTTTTTTTTTTTTTTCTAATTCTTTTTTATTAACAGCTTCTTCTATTAAATACGATGGAGCGACTGAAACTTTATTTGATGGCATTTTGTCTAACTTCTAAAAATGCGCTTCATTTCGAAAAGGTGGCGGAAAAGAAAAAAATTTAGATTGATTGATATAAAATTATATTTATAAAAATCGATCTAAAATTTCTTTATTCAAATATTTACATATATTTCAATAAAGAAATATTTTCTTTTTGTCTGCTAATATTTTTTTTTTCAGTGTTAATTCAACATTACAAATTAAAACTCAATTATGAAAAAAGTCTAGAACTGATTTGATGTTTTAAGTAAAATAAGAAAAGCCCAAAAAGTGACTGATGTAACATGTTTATTTTTTGATAAAAAAAAAATTCTCATAATGTTTAAAATTGGTATTAATATTAGGGATGTACCGAAGCTTCGGCTTCGGCTTCGGCATGCCGAAGCCAGGTCAATTTTTTGCCGAATCTTTGGCTTCGGCAAAAAAATTTAAGTAATTAAAGTTATAAGCTACTGCTTTACAAGTTATAAAAATATGCTAATTGCCAGTGTCTAATTAAGTTGTAAATTCAGGACTACAGAATTAAAGTTGGATTCTATACCATATACTTAGTATTATTTACTCCCAAATGTCTTGTTATGAAGGGGATGATAATAAATAAGTAGAAATTTTTGAATATAAT